GGAACTGCATGACTGAGAACAATTGTTACATAGTTAAGAATGAATCTTTAGATTTGAATCAGTGAACTTCTCCTTGAAAAACAGTACTTAAATCGAGTAGTTCATAGAACACGAAATGAAAGACGTAGCAGCTTCACTTTGCTCGGCCTTGTTGCGTCACTGCTGCTTTCTCCTTTCCTTTTGTTGCTGTCCCCATTCTCTTTGCTCTTATCTCGGCTTTTTTTGCCGTTGCTTTCTTGACTGTCCTTCAACTTTCTCACTAAAAATCAGCTGAAGAATTAGGGTTTTAGGACCGTTGATCTGCAAAACAAACTTGGTTTTGTTCAGTCAATAATGAAGGAATAACAGCAAACACTAAACATAGCAATTCGAATACATTTGAATAAAAACAAGCAGATAGTCTGAAACGAGATGCTAAAGATCTAAAAACTTAAATGAGTGTGTTCTAACAAGTAGCAACTAATTAAATCGACTTGAAGTAACTACCTAAATTGAGAACACTTTTTGTCACTTCGCACAATCGCTGGAACTTTGGCTGTTTTGGAGTAACCGTACAACAAATTTAAGCTTCGACATCTCATCTATAAAGCAGAACCTTACTTTCCACAGCGTAGTTTTTTTCTGACGTCTCGTTAATGCTTCTTCTCTATTTTCACACTTTAACATTAAAGTCAACGTTTCTCATATAATATCATGCAAAATGCGGTTGGCTTTGAAAAGAAATTAAAATTTCAAAATTAACTTTTTTTTATTCTAATAAGAATTTTTAGCAATTTTTTTTAATTTACAAAAAAAATTAAACTTATAATAGCTTTGAGAAGTGAAAGTTTGCTTTCGATTATAAACATTTGACAGGAAAATATCAAGAAACTTTATGAAGCCGGAATTACTGTAATGGTGATAATAAACGTTAAAGAAATTCTATACAAAGTAATCAGCTTCTGCAAAGAAAATTTTAATTTACTAAGATTCGTAAAAAAAAGAATAATTTTGAATAGGGAGTAATAAAATATTGTTCAAAAAAATATTTGTGAAGCTGAGACATTTGGAAAAAAAGTGTTTTTTATAACTTTGCTCTTCGTCACTTGTTCATTTTGCTTATCACTTTCTGGTTATTTCTACAACTCCAGTTTTTGAGTTGTGTCTTTTGTAGACTGAGGTACTCATCAGCAAGGCGAAAGCTAACATTTGCGCTAAAGTTGCCCAAATCTTTGCAAAATAAGCTTTCTTTACAATGAAGTCTAATTTACAACAATGCTTGTTACGCTGAGACGCTAAAATAGGTGCTTTTGCACGAGGTAGAATCTTCGAATAAAAATTCTCACAGATTCAAAATGTATGGTGAAAAACACTAATTATTACTTATTGACGTCGGTACGACCATAGCGTAGCTGTTTACAATTTCTTTTTTTTTATAAGCTTGTTTTTTTTAGTCGATTAATTCATCTATTTTGTGCTTACCACGAGTTCAAAAATAAAGTTGTATTAAAAAAATTTTAAAATAGAAGAAGCAGCCATGTGTACCAATTTCTGTAACTTGCTGTAAACTACAACTTAAAATGTTTATTTAGCCAGAGATTAATAAGCAGTTTATGCAAAAATTTGAATGAATAATTCTTCAAAAAAAATATTTCACAGTAAATTACATTAGATTTTCAACTTTAAAGTATCAAATTTAACTTAGAGGCAACTGTTATGTCCAGTTTCTTTAAATTTTCTATCACGCCTCTTTATAAACGTTATCCTGTTTAGAAATAAGCGATATAGACATCGATCTGAATACGCAGTTTTTAGGTGGCCGTATCATGCAAAGAAAGGCCAAACTAGTTTTCAAGAAGCGTGCAAATTGCGCCTCGTATCATAAAATTTGCTCACATCTTGGTGCTGTTTTTAACACTTTATACTACAGTACGTTTCGCTGACGAACTGATTAAAAAGTGATAGCTTTTTTGTGTCATCTTTTTCAAGAAGAGAATGTTCTGTAAAATGACCAGTAAAAATGAGCTTTTCAAAGCTTGAGTTACTGAAATACTTTGATTTACTAATTTTGTACCTTATAATCAACGAAAAAAAATCGACGTTGCATTCTTTTTCCTGTGATGCAAAAAAGTGCATTTGTGTTGGTGCATATTAAAGTGCATATTAATAATTACAACTAACTGTACAACATGTTATACTGTTCCGATTGAAGTTTGCTCAGAATATTTCAAACAGTAAACTTTCGTGTACTCCACCAATTCGCTTTTTTCCACTGACAATTATTTCTAGAAATTCTTTCAATTTTTCTATGGGGAATTTCTAATGCATTTAGCAGTTATAAGCAGAAATGAGAAATTGATTTTTAATAGCTGTTATATTACTTGAATGAAACTGCTTATGCAAAAAAAACCTAATACTTATAAAAGTACTTATCTTTTAAAAGATAATTTACTGTTTCTTCTGTGCAACATTGAAATTTTTTGGCTTCCTACTGTAGGAAAAACTGTTGATTGCTTCGGCAAAGACAAGTCTATCATACTTATCAAGATACAACAAACAAAACAAAGCAAATTTTTTATTGAAAAAGACTATTTTCATTGAATTTAACAGTGTCGGTTTATTGGTAGCTTTAAATACCAAAAGAAAATTCGTCTTTTTTAATGCTTTTTCTTTAAGAAATAACCAGGAGCAAGTTGTGGAAGAGCACAACGACCACAGTTTTGAGCGACACCGTCTACACCGGCAGCACCTTGAATACCCATCGTACCCGCAGCACCCATGGCACCATCAGCACCAGCTGCACCTACTTCTCCTTGTTTTCCTTGTGGTCCCGGTCCGCCAGGAATACCCTGTGGACCTGGTGGTCCTGGTGGTCCTCTGGGTCCAGGAGCTCCCGCTGGTCCTGGTGGACCTTGTACTTCTTTGGTAGTTCCATCTGTTCCTTTAGGACCTCTAGGTCCTGCCGGTCCAATTGGACCTGGTGGACCACGTGGTCCCTGAACTCCTGGTACTCCTGGAGCTCCCATAGCTCCGGCAGCTCCTTGCAGCCCTGGTTTCCCAGTAGGTCCTTTTGGACCCATTATACCTGGAGGACCTTCTGGAGATGGAGCGCATTCGAAGCACCAATCAGCTTCAGTTATAATCCTTCTCGGAGGTGCGTCAGGCCCGTCTTGCCCTGGCGGTCCTTCAGGTCCATCCAGACCATCCATTCCGTCCGGACCTGGTGGACCTGGTGGTCCAGCTGGAGCATGTCCACAACCGCAACATCCCTCAAGTTGACGTTTAGCTCTTGATTCGTCATTGTGCGAGAGAACCTGCAATAATTTTATTTTTGAATGCGAGCAGTTGAACTACATTGAAGTTGACGTTTTGGCATAAGCTTATTAGAAACTTTGTGATAAGCAAATTTATTTTACACAAATAAAGTAAAAATTCTATAATTAAGGCAAAATAGATTTAATTTTTCTGCACATTACTTGCGTTCTAGTAACTTCTTTCCAAATATTTGCTGATCGCGATTTGCAGAAGTCAACTTCATTTTGCATAATCGCATTGACAGATTGAAGATAATTGCAGAAGAGCGGTACAGAAATAACGCATGCAAGTGTTGCAACAGTTGAAAGTGCAATGCTGAAGAATGCAATGCTACGGTAGTTATCGGCCGAATGCCGTAATTCGTACTTCTCCTCGGACATCCTTTAAAAAAGTTACTTAATATTAGTGGTGTAATCCGAAAAAATTAAGAATATCAATCAAAGCGGCAAAAAAATCAAATAAACAAAATTTAAGTGTTTTTAGCGGCCATTTTTAGAGCAAATTTGAGGCATCTTTTTTTAAAATTCAGCTTTAGCAACTGTTTTGCAATAAATAGACAGCTACAAGTTATCGCTGTGCAATAGATCTACAGAAAAAAAATTTTTTTAAACTAAAGATAATTTTGAATGAAGCAAAAATGTCATTTGGTTGTCAAAAATCTAACATTTAGCAATACAATAAATAAATAAAAAATCAAAAAATTAAAACTTCTATAATGTTATCATTTTCTAGCAGAAGAAAAGCTGCACACTTTATTCAATTTAGTAAACTATTATGCATTTGTCTACACAGCTGTAAATATTAGTATTTTTTTTAATTTATAAGTGAGTGTGTTCAATGTCTAGAAATAAAAAGTAGGTGTTTTTTTAACAATGAAGATAAAATATTGTAGCTTTTAACACAGATTTATCAAAAAAGACAGAAAAAAAAATGAAAAAATCTGTTAGTTCGCTAAATGTATTAGTCTAATAAAACAGTGTTCCTTGAAGAGAACAAAAATGAAAGTAAACTACCGAAAAAAAAGAAGAGAGGTTGGTATACAATGGAGGGAAAGAAAGAAGGAGAAGGGAAAAGAGAATAATGTTAGAAAACAAAACTGAGTTGAATTACCTGATTCTAGCAAATGATTAGTGTTCGGTGCAGAGACTGTCCTTAAATACCCGAACTGTTGCTGGAGTTTCAGTGTTCAAAATTGTCACATATATACCATTTTGCTTCGTCAACAGCAAAGTTCAGTGAGAAACTTTTAGATTTTAAAAAAGTTTTTTTTTCTAATTTTTAAAATTTTTTACCGTTGCTGTTGTAACTGTTGTTGTCCTCCTCCTCTCACCCGTTTTTTTTTTCTTTGCCATTTTTTCAGCAATAAAAAAACACATATAGACGTACGAGAGAAATATGAAACAGATAAGAAGAGTAAAACCAGAGAAGGAATATCTGCACGTTTCTATTTTTATGCAAAAAGTTTGCTTCCTTTTTAAATCAATTTTTTTAATTTTTCCGCTTACTCATTTCTCCGAATTTTTTTTTCTTTGTATATTGCTTGAGAGAATGTGTCACTGATAAAATTGAACGATGTAGAGCATTTTTTCAAGAACATTGAAAATTCTTTGTTTATTTTATCACTTTAGGAAACTGGAAAAACAAGGAAAAAAAATTAATGAAAGACTTAAACGATACAAAATGAATTTAGAGGTAGAAAGCATTACGAATAGAGTTTTTCAATAGATAAACACTGTTTGCCGATATCGCAAAAGATCTGTTTTTGAAGTTAGCAAAATCTGCATTTTAAATTATATTATTACTGTTGTCACAAAAAAAATAGTAGTCAAGAACAGTTAATTGTAACTGAATGAAAATTACAGCAATTTGATTTCAATGGCGGTCAATACTTGCATTCAAATATACGTCGAATTTGTATATTTGGTAATTGACAGGTTTCTGAAACAATTCAATAGATATTTTTATAAACGGAAGAACAAAACTCAGACTGCCAGTTAGTGTCGTCAGTTGAAATGTACTAGCAAAAAAAAAAAGTGACAGTTAAAAAGCCTCTAAAACTTTTGAATAAAGCAGAGTTTCTGTACATAAATCAAATCAAAATGTTTATGTTTACCGTCGATAAGACAATCATTTTCAACCGACAATACTCTTGAGGTAAAGCTGGTCTCTAGTATCGGAGTTAAAAAATAAATTAGAATGTCAGTAAAAGCTTGACCTTGACTGTTTTGATTAATGCAGTTATCATCAAAATTATCACAAGTGATTTTATCTTGTTGATTTTACATAACCGTATTGAGAAACTCGATTTTTAGAATATTTTTACACTAATAATTGATCACAAAAGACTTTTTTTTATTCTATATGCTATATTCGATTTGATGACAAAATAATGGTCGAATAAATTTTGCTACCGTCACCTCTTAACCTTACTCGTGTGTTTTGTCTGTGCGCGTGTTTGTTTGCTCGGTTTTCCGTAAAGTTGTCCAAAAGGTAAAGCTATTTTTTAAAATAATATTTTTACCAAAAGAATTTTTAAAAGTATCAATCAAAGCTTTTCAGAAATAACAAACTTTGTTAAAGAATCTTAACAACAATTAAAAAATATTGAAAATAGTCTAAATTTTAGATTTTCCCTTGCAGACACTTTTGCATTGTTTGTCGTTACAGTTACTTAGGTCACACACATTTCTTTCCTGAAAATCTGCACTGGTAAACAATTTTTGTTACAAAAAAAAAAACCAAAAAATAAGCAGCAAACTTCTGTTAATTTCTGTACAGTCAAAATAACCAGTAGACTTTTTTTTTATATACTCATCAAATGCAGTGGAAATTTTTTGTGTTATTGTACCTAAAATCAACGATAATAAAAACTATAGCAATTTTTTCCTTTTTAAACTTTATGAAATTTTCAAATGAACTTAAAATAAATTAAGTCTTCAGAAATATGTAAAAAAAATGATGGATCAACAAATCAACAGGAACATCAGCCAAGTTATCAGTTTTTATTTACCTTTCCAACCTATTTGCCGCTTGACTGCTGTCATCCTTGTTGCCACTCTGGTGGTCACAGTTATTATAGTCGTGGCTGTTGCTGCTGCCACTGCAGAAGTTTATAACCGGTTCAGTTGCATCTGCCATACAAAGACAAAGATTTTTTGTATTTTTAAATATTTTGTTTTTTAATTCAATTTTTTTTATTAATAAAAGTAACAAATTTCACTTTTAATTGAACTTCCAAAATTACTTTTTTTTTTT